AATTTAGTAAAACAATTGGTGGGAATGTGACATCTGTCCTTTTTAGTACCAAATTCCTTTTTTCCATTCTAGGCTTAAATCAGCAAGGATTTGATTGTTTTGTATTTGAAAAAAAAAATCTCTATTATATGCTCCTGATCTGCTATAATAGATTTAGCACATATCCCGTGAGAATATAGTTCACCTCTGTCTTCATAATTTTCTTACAGGGGTCAGGCAGAGAAAGAGTTCAAGGTTGAAGTAGAGGCCATTGGAAAAGTGAGGCACAAGAACTTGGTGGGTCTGATAGGTTATTGTGCAGATGGAGTACAGAGGTACATTATTTTGAATTCCCTTAAAATTTTAATACATGAACAATCTCGTTGGACTTTACTGTAATAAATTTAACTCTGGGATTTTATGGCAATTTTAGGATGCTTGTGTATGAATTTGTTGATAATGGTAACTTGGAGCAATGGCTACATGGTGATGTTGGACCTGTTAGTCCTCTAACATGGGATATTAGGATGAAGATTGCTCTTGGGACTGCAAAGGGGTAAACTGTTCAATACTTGTTCTATATATGAGATTTCATCTTTTACTGTGACATATAACATCTGGCTATAAATGAATTTGACTGTAAATATGTTATTTTGTTGCTGATTGCCTCATTTCAATTACAGTTTGGCCTATTTGCATGAGGGTTTAGAACCTAAAGTTGTGCACCGTGATGTAAAGTCGAGCAACATTCTCTTAGATAGAAAATGGAATGCAAAAGTGTCCGACTTTGGACTTGCAAAGCTCTTACAACCTGAAGCCACTTACGTAACTACTCGTGTAATGGGGACCTTTGGATACGTCTCGCCCGAGTATGCAAGTACTGGCATGCTTAACGAGGGAAGTGATGTATATAGTTTTGGAGTTCTACTTATGGAGATCATTACTGGCAGAAGCCCAATTGACTATTCCAGACCCCCTGGAGAGGTAAGATTGTTCAACTCTTAGCACCATGTTCAGTGTCTCACTGGCTTCATACATAATTTTGTTTTCTGATGGGCATGTTTCAGATGAACTTGGTGGACTGGTTTAAAGGAATGGTGGCAAATCGACGTGGTGAAGAGGTTGTAGATCCGTTGATTGAGGTTCCGCCCTCTCCAAGAGCTTTAAAGCGAGTTTTGCTTGTTTGTCTACGCTGCATCGATTTGGATGCCAATAAAAGGCCAAAGATGGGGCAGATAGTCCATATGCTGGAG